CACATCCACACCCACACCCCGCCACCATCAAAAAAAAATTAGATCATTAAAACTGCCGCCGTCGTTTGACCCCCTTGGCTTACACCTAGATCCCGTCGGGTCCAGAATTTTTGGACCCGGACTCTGGCCCAGGATTTTGGACCCGGGCCCGGACCTGATCATTTAAAATTTTTCTACCCGGACCCGGACCCGTTTACAGTTTGCTGGACCCGGACCCGGACCCGGTCGCTTAAATTTTTTGGATCCAAACACAATGACAAGTCAGTTTAGATAGTATAGTCAAGAAGGGTTTTGTTGTTTTTTATCTATTTTCTAAATACATTTGATCTCTTCTTTGTATAAAACGAACAAAACTTTAAAAAAATTCAAAATAAATTGTATGGATCAAAGTTTTCTTCAGACATGGACCCGGTTAAAGCAAAATTGTCAGGCCCGGACCCGGACCCGGCCAAAGTAAAATTTTTGGACCCGGATCCGTGCGAGTCTGGGTAGGGTCTGGGTTCGGGTCCTACCCGACGGGATCTACTTACACCTCTACACCCATATACTCTTATAATGACCTAGCATCTGTTCATGGTAATGAACACTTGGTGGTCTGTGAAACAATGAACTTTTTAAAGAAGAATATCTTTTATAGTATCTTCAGTGAGCAGTTTTCTCCAAACCTTTTTCTGCATAGCTCAATGATTTTTTCGTTCTTGTAGCCTTAGTAAATTATTTTTAGTTTGTATAACCAATGGATGATTGTCTTTCATTGTACGCTTATATTGTTCAATTGAACACTGATAGTAGTCAATGGCTTTTGCATGTTGTTTCCAAAATTCATATGCCATTGCGATTGAACTGTAACTTTTAGCAATATCTGGATGTGATACAGGAAGGAGTTCACGACGAAGTTCCAATGCATTTTTGTAATGATCAATAGCATATTTATACCTTTTCATTGCTAAATGAAAGTTTCCCTTCTGTTCTGCAACTTCGATAAGTCCTTCGCGATGCTTAATTCTTAGAAATACTCGTTCAGCTTTATCATATTCACCCATTTGAACTAGAAGATTGCCTAATGTCACCATTGATGTTTCTTCTCCAATATCTTTTTTCAGATACACGAAAAGTTCTTTTAATTCAAAATCATTTTCGCTACAAAGACTCATACTCAATATCCATAATGCATCTTGATCATCATAATCGATTTTATTGATACGAAATATCGATCCAAGCATGAATAAGATTTCTTGTTCACCTGGATAGTAACTAATTCCTTCAATATCAGCAAAAGGTTTTGTTGGTAAATAAGGATCGATTTCAATTTGAAATAATACACGATTGAGATTTTCAGTTACAGTTGATTGCTTTGCAAATTGTCGTGCTTTTGTTTTACTTCGACTTGTTGAAAAAAAACTATTGATAGAGATAAAACCACCAATACTAGCTTGCATGTGTTCAAGTTCTTCTTTTGCAATAACTTGCCCACGATAAACATGAATGATGTTCTTGTCATTACTTTGTATACCTACTAATTTTATATGATTCATATAAGAATGATATATTTGTGATACTTGTTTTGATAGTTCAGTTAGGAAAAAACGAAATGCAAATATGGTGTCGATGGATTGTTCTCTCAGGGCTTTGTTCAGTATACGATACAGTGAAGACTGACGAGTGTACCACCAGACAGCTTTGTCTCGCTTAAATTGACTTTCAAATTCTTCAATAATACGTAATTCAGATGAATTTCCCATGTAATTTTCTCGCCAGGTTTGTATTAGTTCTGTTTTAGCATCATTAGTATGTGTCATACGTAGTAGAACATCGATCAATAGTTGAAACCATAGAATTGAACCCATTTCTTTTGAAATATCTTTAGCTGTTGTTTCTTTAGCTACTGCTGTACGATTTAGAATACTCATTGGAACAGTATCTTCGGTTAGATTACGGATTTTCTGATCTTCAGTGATTTCATCGATCAACTGTCTTCGTTTGGTAATGATTGATCGTATCTAAGACAAACAAAGATACACGCAACATCACTAAGAAGAACAATTTTACGTCAAAAATCTGAAGTCAAAGAACTTGTTTTTTTTTCTTAATAAGCAATTTTGTCTGGTTTTTATTCTCGAATAAAAACTAACCTTTGAAAAATCCTTTGACCATTCTTCATGACGTGCTTTGTCATAACAATAAACATAGATACAATTTACTTGTATCAAATCGTGAATTCGTGGTACAATTTCTCTTCCATAGCCACCAGATACAATTAAGACAATTTTTTCACGTTCAATACTTCGAATGTATGCTTCACCTTCTTGTAAATTGTCAAATATTTGAATGTAATTAACACTTGAACGTAACGCATTGTATGTCTTTTCATTATCTTGTGTTTTATTGACATGTGCATCAAGCCAAACGATGAGAAATGTTTCAGTATTTTTATTAGTTTCTAATTTTTCTTCAGACGTTTCAATCGTTTGAAGGATATTCTGCCCATCGAATGATGGTAGTATTGTTTTGTTTTCTACAAAATTTAGTTGATATTTTAAGAAATATTTTTCTATTTTTTCCGACTTGATGAATCTTTTAAGGTAATGTCAAACTGGCTCTAAAAGTTGCTAAGGTGATTCACTATTAATCTTTTTACAGAGTTATACTCAAATAAGTCAAATTCGGATGCAAATGAAAATTTCACAAGACTTACGAGATGATAGATTTTCAATAGACTGTTCTACTTTGGTTGTATCGGGGTGATAAGCTGGAAGCGATTGCATATAGACTTTGTATGCTTTTTGATAATTCTCCAGAGCGAGATGTTTTTGTCCTTCAAGTTCATTTAAATTTGCAATATTTGCATAACACTTGCCATACTGTGGATGGTGACTTGGTAAATTTTTACATAATTCTAGTTGCTCGTTGAAACATTCATGTGCTTTTGAGTACTTGTTCATTGAAATAAGGTAGTTTCCTTCAATATCAGCTAAGCTAGAAAGGCCATCAAATACACGTTTTCTATTGATATCATCACTTGACAATTCACTTTCAAATTTCATGTAGTAGATTTTAGCTCTCTCGTATTCTCCCATTTTAACAAATAAATCAGCTAATGTAACCAAATCTGTTGTTTCTTTGATTTCGTGTTTTATATAATCAACCATCTCTTTGAGGCGAACCTCACCCTTTTCATCACTCAGAGAAATGTTAATTGTCCATAATTTTGTATATTCATCGTAAAAAACGCTATTTATTTGGTAGATGGTGCCCCACATTAACACTATTTCTTCTTCTTCGGCAAAAGCACTTAGACCAGATATGATGGCTATTGGTAATGTTTCGAATCTGACATCGACATCAATTATTAATAATACACCTATATCATCTGCCAATGCAGGAACTGTATGCTGCGCAGAATGAAGTGCCAAATTTTTGAATCGCGTAGTGCTTAGAATACGATCTACATAATGCAGTTGCCCAAGTTTATTTTTAAATAACTCGAGTTCCTGTCGACTAAACTTTTGCCCACGATATAGTTGAAGCTGAGTTTTGAACTTGTTTTTCAATTCTCTCTGATCTTCTTTCAATTTTGCATAAATAAATTTCAAAATATAGCGTAACGAATAAATATTATCAAAATTAAGGAGTCGTAGATTTTTATTAATCGTTTGATATAGCTGGCATTGTCTTGTCCACCACCATAGTGCCTTTTGTGGCTCAAATTCTTTTTCAAACTCATCGACAATTCTCAGCTCATGACGATTTTCATTACATTCATTTCTCCATAAATTTACAAATTCGCTTCTGGCTGTTGCAGCTTCTGCATCATCCATACGAACTAATATTTCAATTAATAGACGGATCCATATGATATCATTTAGATCAGTTTGATCAACTGGGTTTTTCAGTGACTCTGAATGCGTAGGTAGTTTTGATGAAAGAGCTTTTATCAATTCGTCCGCTTGTGTACAAACTTGCCCGAGCTATAAAACAATGTATGAAGCGAAAGATTCACATAGATAAACAATTTCCCACCACACCACCCACTCTTTCAAGATACATGCAAATAGTAGAAATAGAGTGTAGATGTAGGTGAGCATGTGGGCGTGCATGAGGGTGTGTTTGTGTTAGCGTGAGGACTTTGATGTCGATCGCAAGAAGAGCACTCACATCCACACTCTTGCTTCTTCAGACTTTCTAACACTGCATCACTCTAACATTTGATTCGTAACTGATTTCGGCTTTGACATCAAGACTTTATTCAAGTTCGACTGAAAAAGTTTTCAGTGCAATCTCTACGATATTAGAATGCACTAAGAAATAGCACTGCTTGGTTTTGGCATGACGGCACTTGTCATATTGATCACGATTAGCTGTGTGTGAGACCAAGTTCTTTTTGGTCTCGATCACGATGTGTAGAAATCTATTTCGGAAATTATTCGTATCACATCTAACATAATTCTTCAATACTTGTTGTTTTTTTTATTTATTTATTTTAAGGCTAGTACTTTTTCGGATTGTCTCTCTTCAGTCATATTCTGATTCATGTGATTTACAAGATAATTTGCTTAAAAGAATAAAATTTTATACCACGAACTTGAGTTTCGATCGCAGCAATTTTTTTCGTACACGTGACTCTGATGTCGGTACCGATAGCCGATACCAGGAGCAGGATTGGGGCTGGTTCTGCAACAGGGATGCCAGATCTTTCGATATGCCAAGAGGAATGTCAATTTTTTTAACCTTTTTCTGATAGTTTTCCGATCTTCGAATTTCCTTGTATGTTTATCTTTTTTCTGCTTACTCTCTGAGTTTCTATTTTTTCTGATTTTCTTTGATCTTTCCTAGTTTCAAATCTTTTTTTGAGAATTCGACTAAAACCAAGCTATAACTTATTACTACATGTACCGTGTGCAGGATTTTCCGAGCTTGTAATATGCAGGGTAAAATTCAGACTTTTGAACCCTATTTCTGATGGCTTTCTAAAATTCAGATTTTTCAATTTTGTTCTAATTTTGTTTCCACTTTTTTCTTTCATATGAGTGCTTTCAAATTTATGCATGCATATGATTAATTTTTAGCTTTTTATTTTATAAGAATCTGGTTATGGGCGTGGTTGCAACTTTGGGATTCACTTTAGATGGGTAGCGATGAAAGGAACACATCCCACATCTCCACTCAACTATCCCACTCACGCATGGCGACTACTACATCTACTCCTACCCTAACCCTCACACCACCACGTACATTCTCGCTTCAATTTAAGCAAGGAAGAGAACAGAATGTGGTATGATTGTCATCGTCGAATTTAGTATTTGTCTCTTTAATATCACTTATTTATTAGAGAGATAACTGTGGACGTAGGAATTGATGAGTTGCAGATCATACCGATATGTCGCATCTATCCTCTTTTCAAGATAATTGAATGACTTTTGCATCACTCGATTTAGGAGATATGTGTCTACTCGAAAATCTTGACAATTTAGAAGTTTCTTTGAAAATTTCTTGAATATAAAGAAAAATCTTCTGATGGTCAAAAAATGTGTACGAAATAAATACATTGCCTGTAAGCTGATTCTGTTCTCCCTCGGTTTTAGGCGATCAACTAATCATTATTAATTTCAGTAATTTGATATTGACACCGGGAAGCATTTGATAAAACATAATAAGCTTCAGTATTGTCAAAACATATCAAATCATCTCTCTACTTTCTACTCACTTTCGTGTAGTTTTTTGCCCATTCTTCATTTCGTAATTTATTCGTACAGTAAACGTAAAATGTTGTTAGCTGTGGTAGATCGTGCACCTCTGGTATTATTTCTCTACCGTAATTACTTGAAACGATTAAAATCACTTGTTTTTTGTCACATTCTTTAATAAATTTTTGTACATCATTCACAGTATCAAATGTTTTTAAAGTTTCCACGGTTTCGATCAATTTTTTCTTAAAGGACAAACTGTATTTAATTGTATTCACATCAGCATCCAGCCAAATGTAGACAGAGGAATTTGGTAACGTGACTGCTGTTGTCGCGTTCATGATAAATTTTGTTTCTTATGTAGAAATAATTGTTAGCAAGTATAATAGTAAGAGAACGATAAAATCTTTGAAGAAAATGATCATTTACTTTACTATGCAGAATGAAAAAAAAATGAAAAAGTTGAGCTAATGATCAGCTATGAAAAGAAGGAGACTTTCAGTTCATCAATCAGCTACTTGTAATGTTGACTTCTTTATCGTTACAAATGGCGATAATCGATGACATACTTTCAACACAATTCAAAGTACGCTTAAATCTGCCGTTAAAAGATTGCAAGGGCTCGATTTGGCTCAAAAATAGCTATAGGCAATTTTAGTCTGGGTTTTGATCACTTGAGGGTGGATGTGGGTGTGGGTATGTCCTCCTTTTCATCCAAACGTCTCACTCTCATTCCACATCTACACGCTGCATATATGTATTGCGAAGTATTCGTCGCAACAATATAATCCAACTATGAATTGGGGTGTGGGTGTGGGTGGGGTGTGGGTGTGGG